ATATATAAATGGATCAAATTATGGAGATAATTAAGTTCGTACTTTTGGGTCGTCGTTTTGCCATAGCTAGAGGTACTAACAATCTTTGGACTAGTAAAATAGGCCAAAGCCCAATTGGACGAATCCTATAAGATCACACAAAGGGGCTAGATCGAACATTAGAGGACGAGGCCCAACACGGGCCTCATCACTCTAGGTGGCCGACCATATGGAGTGGACAAGGGAGTTTTGGGCTTCGTGCCCTAGTCTAATTATAATGAGATTATAAATAAACTAGGTGCCTAGGTTTGCAGAATGGGAAGCAATTAATTGATCAGAGTGATCAAACCCTAATTAGCAAACACGAAACCCAATCCTCTCAAAGTCCTCTCTTTCACACGAATCTCTCCTCCTCCTAGGCACCGGTGGTGTGTCGCGGTGGTGGTGGTTCGTGCGGTGGTCAGTTGTCCATAAAGGTGGTGATTGCGGTTTTCCTCAATCACTCGACCAATCTAGTATTGGTGGACGGCTCGTTCGAATCTCGTGGACTAAGTAGAGGAGCAACGCTTGGGGCTCTATTCTCTCCCTGATTTTCCTGTCGAATAGCTTCGTGGAATTCACGCGTCAAAGGTATGATTATGTGTCTTGTGTGTTATGCATGTGATTCTTGGGATTGGTACTTAATTGAATATGATTCATGTTTTTCCGCTGCGTAGTACCTATAAACTCCTACAAGATTCACTTATGGTCATAAGTGATTTAAGGACCAACATCTCTTACATGTTAGCTTGGGTAATGATTAATGAGACATGATCTTTACATTCTATACTTATTTAATAAAATTAATAGAAATAAACATATTTTTTTTGGTGTTTAGAGAGCCAGAAGGGCGGGGTGAGAATCGATCCCAGGATCTCCTGAAATCGGAAAGGAAACTCTAACCACTTGAGCTATCCCTCACTCTCATAAACAATATTGTTTTAAGTACGATTGTTGGCCTATAAACCTGAGTTTTCACATTTGATACAGTATAAAACCATGCAATACTAATTTTCATTTGATTGATTTACATTCACACTTCAAGCCAAAGGGTTCTCAAACACAAGGCAAAGAGGATATAAAATTAGTTGTTGGGCTCCAACCATAAGCTTAAGACTTAGGGCCTGTTCTCTTACGTTGAAATTCAGTTCAGTTCAGTTTAGCTCAGCTCAACTCTTAATTTCCTTCTCTTATAAAATATTCATTTCAGTTTAGTTTAGTTCAGTTCAGTTCTATTCAGTTCAGTTCAGCTCAATTCAGCTCAATTCAGTTCAGTTCAGTTCAGTTAAGCTCAATTCAATTCAGTTCAGTTCAGTTCTGCCGAGTTCAATCAATGAGAACAGACCCTTACTTAAACTTGAGTATAAATCTTAACAAAACTTTTTTTTTTTTAAAGGTCAGTGAAAAGTAAAGTAACTAAAATCTAAATGAAATTGGAGCAATAATGTTAGTATTAAGGCAGTCCCAAAAAACAGGAACAATATTCAAGGATTGGAAGAAGTAGATATATAGCTACTCTGCCCTATGGTTATGCTATGGTTTGGAGTGATGCATCAGTTTTTCATTATTTCCAATTTTTGTATACATGTTGAATTGAAGGTTTATGTCATCCAACAAAACAACAAAAATGGCAGGTTTATCTATGTATTAAATTACCTAAAATACACTGTACATGTTATAAGATACATAATGGATGAAGCAAAAGAGAGTAAACAGTAAACAGTGGACACCATAATTAGACTAAGCTGCAGAGTTTTATGCAATGCATGGTCTAGTCCCTACTTACCTACTCATCCATCTAAATGTCCACTTTCAGTCTTTCCTGCAATTACTTCATCTTGATCCACGTTCCTTTTATTATTATACACTTTTTTAATAATTCTGATGAGTCTAAATCTGATCCTATTTTCACATAGATAGGTTAAGCTAGATTTATGCAACAGATACCAAAAAAAAAAAAGAGATGAAAAGCTTAATAAGGTGATGTTAAAGACGAACTACTACAGTAGACAGTAGTATGCTACTGGTACTATATTAAGCATATAAAATACTCATATAATAAAGTATTAATGCATGTTTCTTTTTGGTTGATAGTAATAATAAGGTCCCATCTTTTTCAAATCTCTTCAGTCGTGTAATGGCGTAGTTGCCAGTACACAGTTTACGGCCAATGTCTGACCAAAGATTTTAAAGAATTAAAAGGAGAAAAGCAGGCTGCAAAATCTTTTCTTTCTCTCTTCCTCAGTTCCAATACAATGTGACACAAAGTTGATTCAGAAAAGAAGTTCCTTTATTTCTTTTTGGTGGTGCATGTAAAAAATTATCATGTGGATTAATGGATTACGTTGTTCTCTTCTATCTCAAAATTTTAGGTCATATACTTGTAATTAGCCAGCAGCTAGTTGCTAAGAATCGATTGCAATCGTAGGTTTAATAAACTAAACTAGTTTTTTATTTTATTTTATTTGGTAAATATAAACTAAACTAGTTGCACTATATGTTTTGACAAGTTGGTGCTCATTATTGTATGACGAGTAATGCTTAGATGTTGGTATAGCAGTGATTGGGACTAAACTTGGTAGGGAGGACCTGGGTGGCTGTGTTTGATCCTCCGCAACAACATTTGAAAGGGAAATGAAACCTAATCACTCATAACTGATCCCCAAAAACCGGATTAGCCCAAAGTGTAAACCGGGTGGAACAAAAAAAAAAGATATTGTATGACGAGTAATTGTTTGTGTATAAAGTTTTTTTTTTTTTTTTTTTTTTTTTTTTTTTTTTTTTTTTTTACGGAAAAATTGTTTTAAGTCATTTAATTGACTCTTCACCAACCAATTATATATTTATATGGTGGATTTATAGAGTCGAACCTCTAAATTAGTCAAATTAATTTATGTTTGGCAAAACTTAATGAACCAAATAAGTCCTTGGCCTAAAATAAGTTTGCATTAGTCCCAATGAACTAAGGGTCGTTCACATTTATTGAATTGAGCTGAAGTGAACTAAATAGAGCTGAACTGAACTAAATAGAGAAGGAAATTAAGAGCTGAAGTGAAGTGAACTGATTGGAGCCGAACTAAACTGAACTGAATTGAACTGAAATTAAGCTGAAGTAAACAAGCCCTAAGTTCGAAGAAGGTTCTATTTGATTCATATGATTTTGTTGGAATTACTTAATATGCGTTATTTAATAACTTATATTTTCTTTGTATTTTAAATATTTATTTTATTTGAACTTTTATTTTTTTGAAATAAAATAAAATAAGTTAAAATAAAACTAAACATTAAGGGCCTGTTCATATTTACTGAATTGAGTTGAACTGAACTGATTGGAATTGAACTGACCTGAAATGATTGGAGCTGAACTGAGCTGGGCTGAAAAGAATATTTTTTGAGAGAGGGAAATTAAGAGCTGAACTGAACTAAACTGATTGGAGTTGAACTGAACTGAACAAAAATTAAGTAAATGTGAACAGACCCTACATCGTACATTTAAGTGTTGTATTCTTTCTTTTATTTACTTTGTATATTTTTTTAAAAAAACTTTAATAAATAATATATATGCTACTTTGAACAAATTAAACTATATTGTCCTCACTAAGGGCCTGTTCACATTTACTGAACTGAACTGAACTGATTGGAGCTGAAATGAACTAAACTAATTGGAGCTGAACTGAACTGATTGGAGCTGAAATGAACTGAGTTGAAATGAATATTTTATATGAGAGGGAAAATTAGGAGCTGAATTGAACTGAACTAAACTGAAAATTAAGTAAATGTGAACATGCCCTAATTTAAAGCGCATTATACTCATTTTTTTCTCACTCATTTGAACTTATTAAGCTTATATGAAGTTATCTAAACCAACATGAGCTTAGCTAAGGTGTGTTCTAGTCACATAATTTTCACTTATTGGATTAAATCATTAGAAATTAACAAAATTTATATGGTATTTGAACTTAAATGGACTTAATAAACCTTATTAAAGTTTAGTTATAAGATGAACTTCGTAGCCTTATTAGCTTTTATTATTCATATATTTCTTCCAGAAAATAAAACATATTCACATTGAATCATTATTATTGTTGCATATTTATCTTTCTCCATTTTAAGATAGTTATTATTTTCTTTCAAAAAAAGATAGTTATTATTGGATCTTCTCTCTAAGTGTGAGCTGGCTTTTAGGTCAAAATATTGCAAGATCCAAATGTTCTAAAATAACACTTGTACCTATAAGGATCAGAAATCTCTTTAAAAAGTATATATGAAGTTGTACAATGCATGTAATCGTATGAACACAAATACTTCGTATAAGGAATGGACACATAATTTGTGAAAATGTTGTTGCAACACGTTTTGAACACTTCCAAAGAGCAACAGTATCATGATATGATGCAATCAAAGTGTAGTGTTTAGTGTGCCCCCCTTCCAAGGCTAGTTTCTCACTACCTACCAAATTCTGTTCTTAATTATAACAAAGAAAAATTAGAGCTCTTAAGGGAGAATAGAAGAATGATCATGAGCCCTATATAATTATTATATGGCCAACTTTTTAGTATTCAAAACCCAAAAAAAGAGTTATTATATAACTTTATTGAAGCTATATAGGGTAGTAAATAAAATATACTACGTAGTATATAGAAGAGAACAATTAATCAAAGTACATGTTACATATCAAAGACCAACTACGAGTAAAATTTGAATTGCGGTAACAAATGCTTAAGTCATAATATTCAACTCCTTAATTTGTCGCACACACGTCAGTCTGACAGTTATGCTTGCGATTACTACAAGTATTGAATTGAAGTCAAAATTTATTTTCCTTTCATGCCGAATAGTCGAATAGATACGTCATCTGTAAGTTAGTGACCAGAAAACGACAGAAATCGCAACGTAAAACATAAATCGAGGACGGGCACATGAATTATCAACGCCAAGCCCCCCAACAAAAAATCAAAATTTATGGAAAAAAGGACACAAAATTCCAATACAAGTACTAAGAAAAAACTTTTCCTCCGTCAATGCAACAGTTTCACAAAAGTTTACATCAGTCATCACCATCATTTCATATCCACATCCACCTAAACTAAAATGGCCCCTAAAAAGAACAAAGACAAACAAAATTTGGGGCTGTCCTTTTTTGTACAAACAAAATACAACCACTACTAAATTAAACTACTCCTAATTTTAATTCTAAAAAAAAAAAAAAAACTAATTTTACTTATTTAATTTTTTTTTTTTTGGGATTGTTTTAGAAGAATACTTCCATACTATCCTGTTTAGCAGAGTAACAAACAGGACACAACCCAAGAACAGACTCACAGTTTCTGCAGCAACAAAGATGTTTACATGGCAGAAAAACAACACACAATTTTCCACTATTACACCATTTGCAAACCATCTTGTTATTTACTTCTTGATGATTTTCTTGAAGATTACCTCTATCATTCTTGTCAATGGCTTCACATTCGTTGACACTCTCTACATCATCTTCACCACCATGATTACCATTAGCAATGTCGTTTCGAGGCGGTGTCGAAAAGACCAGGTTTTGCTGGATTACAAAGAGCATGTTGTTGAGTTCAATCACCATTTCTTCTTTCTCCCTTGCAATACTCTGCCACATCTCTGTTTCTTGTTCTGATTTCTTCAAGAAATCTTCTAGTATCTTTGCTTTTCCCCTTAATTTTTCAAGATTTTCATCTTTTTCTTTCATTATTGCCATTGTTCTTGACTCAAAGCTGTTTACAAGATACTGCATTTGCTGCCTTTTTTGTTGGTGTATTGCTTGCTTCAGTTTTTCTCCCTATTTCACATTGCAAAATTTTTAAGAAATTAACACAATTTCACTGTATTTTCTTGGAAAAAATTATAAAATAAATCACAATAAACCCAATAAATGGAAATTTGGCATAAATTCTGAAAATTACACGTATAAAATATAACAGGTTGTTAAATTAAACATGATTTTTTTTTTTTTGGAAAAATATAAATCAAAATTATTAAACACAGATTATAAAAAACAAACATGATATTATTGGTAGTTTTTAACACATGCCACGCCATAAATATAACGTAAAAATAATTTAACAGATGGTTATTAAATACAAATTAATTATAAATCATATCATAAAAGTCTCTTCTATTTTTACTCCTAGTAACACAAATCATGCAAAAATTCAAAACAACCTTGAAAAGATATCATCAAACCTTTTTTTTAGGTCTGCAATTCTTGTAAAACAATAAATCGTTACGTTAAAGTTTAAACCGTCTGATACAAGAATTTACGAACAGTAAGATAACAATGGCGTATGTACCTGGACATGGAGATAAAGATCAACTTCACGCTTATGTTGATCAAGCAACGCAGAAAAAGGCAAAGAATTCTCAGTAACAGCAGTTGTTGCTGCAGTAGAAGAAGAACCAATTCCTTGATTATTACCAACGTTGTTATACCCCATTCCCATTCCCATTCCCATTTCCATTCCGGGCTCGAAACGGTATCGCTGTGGTTGTGTTTGGGGTAGCGGTTGGTGATTTTGAAGAGGATTAGAGAGATTGGGAAATGTTGGAATCATATAATCTTGAGAAAAACCCAGATTTTCTGAGAAAATTTCAGTCTCAACCGCCATTTTAAAAATGAGATTAGAGAGATGTGGGTGGTTTAGTTTTTTTAGGGAGCGGTTTTATGAAATTAAATCAAGTTCTGCCAAAGTAATAATAATGTTGCGGGGGTAGGTTATGATATGAGGGGGAGAGGGGGGGGGGCAAAAGAGCAAAGATTTCATGACTAATATTTTTGGTGTCCTTTTATAAGGCAAAAGTGAAGCACATAAGGAAGGATTATAGGGGAGTATATATAATATTAAAATGTAAATAAAAATACTGACAGAAAGGAAAAAAAATTAAATTAGAAAAGAAAGAAATCGATCGGATTTTAACGTTGTTTTGATGGGTAAATTAAATTAGTAAAAATAAAAAGGGAAAAAAGGAGGAGAGAGAAAATAAGACGACGACGACGTATACATGCAGATATTGTGACAGTCAATCAGTCACAGAGGAAAGGCTTAGTAGGTCAAGTTTTGATTTATTTGAAGTGCGAAAAGGACATTTTCAGATTTTAGAGAGAGAATTTTGAGAGAGAGAAAATTATTTTATTTTAAGAGAAAATAAATCAAAGGAAGAAAAATGTTTTGGATTTTTACTTGTCAGTTGGGTCATTGGGAAAGGTTGACGGATTTGATTTACAAATTGCAAAGACTTTGATTTTTCTTTTCGTTTTTTTTTTGGCTTTTCAATTTTTTTTTTTTGGTGGAAATTGCCAAATTGGCCTTTTCAATTAGTTTGTTGGATCTGTCGAAAAAAAATAAAAAAATAAATTAGTGTGTTGGAAATCTTTTTCTTCCTAATTTGTTGCTTTAGGTGACCCGTTGTATTTATGATCGGGACAAAGAAAAACAAGCCATTTTATTAGAAAGTAAAATTATTTTAGGTGGATGGGATTTGACATAATTTTTCTATTATTATCTTAAGTTTTTATGATTTTACATTATGTGTTTGAGATATGTTATGATTTTACCTTTGGCATTTCAAATTTTGGTACTCATTTTGGATTTCTAAGGTTACAAATCTACCTATTTTGAATATCTCACATTGATATTATTAATTTTTTTTATTTGATATGCTGACGTTCAAACCAACCTTTTTTCAAGAGAAAAATCTACCAATTTTGAGATTGAATATCTCAGTTGATATTTATTAATTTTTAAAATTGTAATGGTGACGCTAATATCTCAGTTGATATTATTATTTTTTAATTGTTATGCTGACGTCGTGCAAAACTAACCTTTTCTCAAGAGTAATACTTTAATTTTGGATTCTCTTAAAATAAAGACTTTAGTTTTTTTTATTGAAGAAAAGACACTTCAATTTTGAATTTCTAAAATAAAAAATTAATTTTGAATTATAATTACGGTCTTGACTAATTCCTTCTCAAACGAATTAAAATAAACCCCAAAAAAAGAAAATAAGAAAAATAAATACACACACAAAATTATTAGCTGAATTACTGTGGATATATCGCAAGTTTTGATAATTTCATTTGAGTGTCTGAAGTTCACAAACTATCTTTACTACCTCCTTGTTTTGATAAGTGTTACGCTTTCATCCTTGGAGAAACCATTGATTCGGTGAAGCCTTCGGATATTGAACTTTTCCATTTACCAATGTGGATTAGAGTTTATAATCTCCCCCGTAAAGATAGATTAAACCTTGCTAATGTGGAAAAGATTGGCAATAAAATTGGAATTTTGTTAAACTTGATGATGCTGCAAAGGTGGGGATTGACAAGTCCATTAGGATCCGGGCTCAAGTGGACGTTCGAAAGCCTTTATTAAAACAGGTGAGGCTAAAATTGAGAGGTGGAATTGAAGAATCCTTTGAGGTGAAGTATGAAAAACCATCTCTCTCTCTCTCACTCTTTTTTTTTAGCAGTATGATGGGGCATGGATTGAAAGACTGTGAAACATAAGGAGCATGATGAGACATCCCTTCCGTATGGTTCGTGGTTAAAAGCTTCACCATGGAAGTTGTTTTGGTCAAAAAACTGAATACCAGGTTCGACCTGGGTTACGATAGCTACAACTAGATTGAGGTGAAGGAAATTGTTGAATCTGGATCTACGAAATGAACAAAAAGGAATGAGGGAGAAGACACACGAGATGATGACGTAGAAAACCCCAAGAACAAGGGTAAAAACTGCGTGTGGCTATGAGTCCACCAATCTACTAGGTGTTTCGGTTGAACAGATTACAATGTAGGTTACAGATTGTTGGCTGAACGATAATAAAACGACTAGTATTCTATGATTATGCTAAGTAGTAAGACTCTTATATTTTTTGATGCCCTTTACAATGAATATCCTTATATTTATATACTAGGAAAGCATCTAAAGGGTCTTCAACGGCTCTTTCTCTAGATTCCTAGAAATCCGCAGTTGAGGGCCAAAGCTGCCCCTACTTTCTCTCCACGTCTCCAGGTCTGTTACTTCCACGTTTGAATTGGTCTTCCTCAACGACTAGACTGCTGGGAGTGGTTCCTATTTCCACGGATGGGATTTTGTATCTTTTTCCACTCGAAGATTCCTGGGAATATTCCTTGAGAATATGCTCAGTTGCTTGGTTTCCTAGTGTTAGTTTTGCAGCTATCTTCAACCTGTATATCACTAATCTGCGACCTGTAACCTGTCTACCTGTAGAACATGGGAATTTTTGGGTGAAAATTCTAGCACAACAGTTTGCCTCCAACTTGTCTCTTAGATGTTCTAATGACTTCTACGAGGCAAGCTCAGAAAATCCGTTAAAAAAGATAAAAATGCAAAATGCATCTTTATAGATAAATTCAAATTCGTTGCAAAAGATAAACATCCTTGAAAAGATAAATTCAAGTCGTTAGATACAATTAATGCGGTATAAATAGATAAGTAAGGATTCTTCCAACTACTTCCCCTTTTGTGATAAACACTATCTCAGAAAATCTAGGGTTTTTTGATATGCAAAAATTGGGGAAACAAGATCGACGAGGACACAACACAATTTAAACAAGGATTTCGTTGTAGTGGAGTCAAGCTTTGCCAACTCTCTCTATCCTGGTAAGTAATTGAGTTTTTTATTTCTCAATTTCGTTGCTTTCTTTGATTTTTCTAGCGAAAACTGTTTTCAATTATGGTGAAAATTAAGCATGTTGCTAAGAAAAAATGTCATAGACATACGGATAGGAACTTGAGAGTGAACCAAAGTAATATGGGGAAAGCAGATGAAGATAAAGCTAGCAAAGTTACAGAGGACGATTTGGCAGAGCTGAAAGCAATGGGTGGGTTCCCTGGATCTGCTGTGCTGATTGCGCTTGGACCAGATGACAGGCCACAGCTCTGCAGCAAGGATAACATTGTACTCCACGAGTACCCTTTTAAACATGGTTTCACATATCCTGTCTCTCACTTGGCTAGGCAAATTCTAGAAACTTTTGATTTGAGTCCAGGGTAACTTATGCCTGTGATGAGTGACATTTATGTCACTCTTAGGGGTAGTATTTAGGTCTTTTTCCTCTTATTTTTCTTAGGTTTTTCCACCTCATTATCTTCTTATGGCTTCTTTTTGTGTTGATGAAAAGTAATGCTTATTTTGATAATCTTTATGCATTATTTTATCATCCCCATGCTCTCGTGAACTTTGGTATCTTCTGCAGGTTCCGTGACAGTCCTATGCACGGTGGGAGGCCCCTTGGCCAAGCATGGAAGCCATGGACAAAGGAAAGAGGGGCAAAAGGGAAGGAGAGGAAGCAAGAAAAGGAAGTGCAAGAGGAGGTGTGGCCGAACCTCTGAAAGGTCCGGTCGAACCTTGGTGTGGTCAAACTTTTCAAAAGTTCGACCGAACCTCCAGGGTGCAGTGAAGGCAGTGTCAAACCTGTTTTCAGCAATTTTGCAGGAGAGGTCGAACCTCAAAAGTTCGACCAAACAAGGATCAGGGAGGTTCGACCGAACCTACCCTGAGTCCGACCGAACTTACCCATAGTTCGGTCGGACCTTTTCCCGATCTCAGCCGATTTTGTACGGACTATTTAAGGTCCTTTTGAGGTCGTTTAAAAGAAGACGGGAGAAGCAGGACAGTAGCCTAGTTTTCAGAAACCTCCTTTAGTTTGAAACATTCCTTAGGATTAATTTAGCTTAGTTTTCATCAAATCAAATCATTGTATTAGTGAAATTCAAGAATTATTCTCAAAGTTGGGCAATTTGTATTCAACATTTGAAGCTTCAATTAGTAATTTCTCCAACCTTCTTCCTTTTAATTTCAGATTTCATTTGGTATTTGCATGTTATTTAAATCTTCTTAGTTCTTGGTAATTTGTTATTGGATGATAGTTATTTCAATTGTTAACCACTTTTCCCCAATTATTGAAGTATTTAGAACCCTAATTCTTGATTGCATGTTGATAAACATGAGTTGTGAGTAGTTTTCTTGCTAGGGGTTGGGTGAAGCTCGACCTTTTTGGGTTAACTATGCAAATGTGGGAGAAGCATTGATGTTTGTATTGCAATTAAATTGATTATATGAGATTGCTTGTTAGTTCCTCATGATAGGTTTAGCTACCCTTGACTAAGGAGCTTGATAGTATGATATGCCTAATTTGACATGGAAGTGTAAATTGAGTACGTCATTACTTATTGTAATTTGATTATGTATCATCTATTGCTAAACTAATGAGGAATCTAAGTTTAGTAGTGTGAGTTGTTTTCTAATTGCATGAGGTTGATTTTACATATAGTCCTTGCTATATCTTGTCTATTTTACTCCCCGTTTGCCTATTTGCCTTGGTTGAGCGGATCTCATTCCCTAGTATCTTTAATTCATTGATTTAGCACCATAGTTTGTTTGTCTTCTTGACGAACCCCTATTCACCAATTGACTTCGAGCTAGCTTAAGTGTAAAGATCTTTGGCAATCATATCCTGTTCCTTGTGGACCGAACTCTTACTTGTCATTATGCTTGGTTTGTAAGGTGTTTGTTAATAAATGTGTTTGATTGAGTGTGGAATGTACGACCGTTCGCACGCCCATCAAAATGGCGCCGTTGCCGGGGAACGGTGTTGTTGATAGCTAATTGATTACTTGAGTCTAGTTCACCATAAAAAAAATTCAAAAAGATTGTCTCTTTTTGGCTACACTTGTAGCCTTGGTACTAATTGCGTTTGTTGAGAGTGTATGCGCAGAACTCATAACAGGATCTTGGTACCTTACGATCCCGAGATTGAGCAAACTTATAGAAGGAGAAAAAGAGCCGGTTCTAGGCCGTTTACTACTCCCCCAGCTAGAGAGACCAATTTCGAGGAGGATCGAGATCAAATGGGTGACGCGGAACCACCACCTCAAAGACCTTTAAAGGAGTTGGGAACTCCAGGAGCTTATAGAGCTTCAAGCGGAATTGCTCCACCCGTTACTCAAGCCAATGACTTCGAGATTCGGCCCGCAATGATTAATTTGATTGAAAGGAGGCAATATAGTGGAGCAAAACATGAGAGCCCTCTTGCACACTTGAACGAGTTCGAAAAATATTGTAACACGATCAAGGTAAATGGGGTAACTCAAGAGTTTGTGAGACTAAAGTTGTTTCCTTTTTCTTTGATAGGAAGAGCTCTTGAATGGCTTGAGAAGGAGGTGAGGCCTAACTCCTTGAGAACTTGGGACGAGGTCACCATGACTTTCTTAGGAAGATTCTATTCCCAAAAGAAGACGGTCGAGGCAAGAGCTTTGATCCAAGGTTTTCGTCAAAAAGCTAGTGAAACCATTTATGAAGCATGGGAACGATACAAGGAATATCAAAGGGAGTGCCCTCATCATGGCATTCCGTCATACCAAGTGCTTCAAATTTTCTATGGAGGCTTGAGCCCACAAGGAAAGACTAGCTTGGATGCAGGAGCGGGTGGCCCGATTATGAACAAAACGGAGGAGCAAGTCATAGAGATAATTGAGGATGTGGTGAGGCACCACATGGATTGGCAAGAAGGAGAGAGAGATTCTCTAAACAAGGGAGGAAATGCGGTTTACTCCGTTGACCA